GACAGCCTCATTTTGTTCAGTAAAACACAAGCTGGAATGGCTGCCAGAAATGATGTGTCAAAACTCATCACTTGTGAAAAACCAAGAGCAAAGACTTTAATGTTGAAATAAGCAGTGAGATTATCCCCTTGTAGTGACACTCTCTATAAAGGCAAATCATAATCTGTGATTGTCTTTGTAGCACATTAATAGTTCCTTTAATTTTGTAGTAGCTACTGTGAAGGATAACATGCATTTTATTTCAGGTTTATTAATCAGCCCATCTATACTAACAATTTTAGATCAAAAGCATTCTACAGAAGAACGAACTAATTCAAGAAATCCTTTGGCAGACTGTCTTATTATACAGGTTGGGTTATTTCATAGAAGATATAACTAGAACAAATATACCCATGAAAGCATCATTGATTATAGGAAGAAACACAGGATCAATTCAAGAAGCAATTTAAAGTTATTTTTAAATAATATTGTGTCATTACATTAGATGTCATATATTTAGTTTTATAAGAAGTGGTCCCCTCATATGTTGTGTATGTAACACAAAGGACAGATAATTGTATTCATATTAAAAATAAAGACATAAGCTCAATATGATCCTGGAGATTAAATTTAAAACTACAATAGGCTGAATGCCTCCTCACTCTTACTGACTAGCAGCCATGGGAACAAATATGCTCACACAAAACACATAAACATACTTACAGAACACACATAGCTGCATATTTCTCATTTAACAAATCAATAAAGTAGTATGTCCATTGAGGAAATTAGTGGGTCAGAGCCTTGACACTTCTAGTTCTGTGTGTGAGGCACCTAGAAGAAGACATTCAATATTAACAAAAATGAAGAGAGTGAACACACTGTAAATGTATCAACTCCCTTTGGACCCATATCAGGAAGGATGTCATGGATCAAAAGCCACTCTCCAAGATTACAGACATGGGTTGTTATAGAGAATCATAAAATAACAAGACATAATTGTCCTTGGGAAGCTGGGAAAGGAGAAAATTCAGAGGTGTTCTGATGATTGCTGTAGGTTAGTTATGGAGAAGTCCAGTATTGAACACAAGCTTAGCACTATCAGATATCTAGGTGGGTTGAAAGGACATCTAGTGTGGGCTAGCTTGGGTAATGTGGCTGGTGCAGAGATGCATAGGAAACTCAACTCCTCATAGGATTCTTCTCCCAGATTACAGCACTGAATGCAACATTATTGTGTGAGTGATGTGTCTCTTGAAGTCCTTCAACTAATTTTCTATTTACCTTTCCCTCCCTGCTTTGTTTTTGTGGAGCTTTTCTCTAGTAATGACTACAGGATTTCTCTGGAATAGCTATTTTTCTCAAAACAAGGTGAGGCTTGATGGGGGAATCCACTTCTGGAAGGTCATCTATACGATGCGGGACTGATTGAGAATGTGTGTTCGAATCTAAGGTGCATTTGTTCAGGATCATTCCTGAAAAGTAAATGAGCCTAAACAAATGTATAGAAAGTTGCAACTAGAAGGAATATAACCTGGTGGTCTATTGGTAAGGGGACCAGAGTTACTAGTGTTATGTGTTTCAGTATTGCTCTGTGATTTTAGTTTATGTAATGCAATAAATAGGGAAATGATTGAGGTAGAAGATTTGCTAAGTTACATGTATATGTGTACATACTTGTAAGATTATCTACGTTAAGATTAGCCTCTGAGAAGATCTTTGGCTAATTATCTTCATTAGGAGAATTGTTGGAGGAAAACCCTTCCAACTGTGGGAAAAACTACGGCCTGCTTGTGGTTCTTTATCTGTACAAAATGGAAGAAGGGAGCTGAGCCATAGCATCCTTCACTCTGCATTTTAGTTGTGGTTGTGATGTGAGCAGCTCTTTTCACATTGTATTCCACATTATAATAGTTGGATGCTTGAACTGTTTTCCCAAGCAATCTATATTCCCAAGTGAGGGACAAAGATTCCTCAACTAGCTTTGTAGGTGTTTGATCACAGCAAAAGGAGAGATAAGGACTCAACCCTGTAAGCGCTGAAGTTATGTATGTACTGATGTGGTTCTTCCAGAAATAGGCCGGCTCCACAGTCATTATGGAGAGGCAAACATGTTTCTGCATCATGGATGTAATCACTTGTCCCTGAAATAAGAAGAGAAGAGCAAGGTTAACTACAAACTCCTGATTTCAAATGAAGTAATTTTCATGTGTAGCCAATTTGCTTTGCATCTGAGGTTGAAAGAACAACAGTCTTTACAAAGCACAAGGAGACTTTCAAAGATATTTAAATATCCCCCTCCTGCCACTGCCCTCCTACCTTCCTGAATCATAGCCTTCAGCAGTGCACAGGTCTTTGTTTTACATGGATTTTCCTCATTTTCCAACATGTCCATTTACTCAGAAGGCATTTGTGTGGCAGGGGAGATGTCTCATTGTTTAACAAAACTCACTGGATGTTCTTCCATAGGATCTAGGTTCAGTTCCCAGTACCCACATGGTGACTCACAATGATCCATGAATCCAGTTCCAGGGAATATGTCTCCATCTTCTGTTTTCTATAGGCATCAGGCATGTGTCTTGAACAGATATACATCCAACCCTTAAACCCATAAACAAAATATAAAAATAAAAAAAGTAGATGCTCTAGTTCTGTGCCATGACTTTTGAAGCTGATGGATAAACATGTGTTTATCTTAAGTGCATTTTGGAATGGTTGGCAAAGAGCCCTCAGCTATGAAAGGCTGCTTCTCCAAACTCATCCTCTCACACAGACTCAGAGAATCTGCATAGGCCATTCTGATAGAAGCTACATGCATGACTCTGGGCATCTTGAGCAGGGCAGATATCCTTCATGGCCAAAACTCTTGTATGTTTCTTCAATGCAGTAATAAATCCCCACATCCTAAGATACCATGTTGCTATTTTAACAAAGAATAATGTGCTAATGTTTTATATGAGTTTATGAAAGTCTTGCTTTTCTACTGTTTTTTTTGTCATGTATATTGGGTATCTACAGACTCTCATTAAAAAATAAATGATTCTGTCTCATGGAACAGAAAAGCTGAGTTCAGCTGTGTACCATCTCATGTTAGTATGGATCTAAGACAAACATTCCCAGTGCCTCCAACTACAGAGGTGTCCATTGAAGAGGGTGCTGCATCCCGTGAGCTCATGGCCATCAACGTCTGACTCCCAGATTCCAAGCCTGGGAGCATATCAATCAGTATTGTTTTCAGCCAGTAGGTTTATAATCTGTCTTTAGTCATAGTCCACAGAATCTAATTCATCAGGACACACTGTGGAACCTTGATAACTAACCAAGTATTTTGGCTTTTTATATTACAGATAGTATAACACAGATTGTTAAAAATAACTTTAATACTGATGCTCTGGAATAGGCACATGATTAATGGCAGGAGCCTTTGGATTTGTACGACCCCAGTCTCCATGTGTCCAGTGTGAATGAGCCACAGTAAGGGCCATTAAAGCAAAATCTGAACTCACTTCAGCTGTCATAAAGCAAAGTAAAATGTTTAGTAAAGATGGAAGGCGCATGACATCTTGTTATATACTGACTGGGGAAGTTACACATATGTCATGTCCTTGACAGTGAGATTGAGAAGTTTCCCAACCTACACACTGTCTCTCTCTTATTATGGTGTATTATCAGTTGACAGAGGATATTAGTATATGGTCATCAGAAATAATTTAATGTTTCATACCTGAATAGTAGGAGTCTAAATTTTTATATTTATTGAAATGAAAATGGGAAGTGCATATTTAATAATTGGATATTTAATTTTCAATAATATTCTTGGGGTAATGCTAAGTTTTTATAGTATTAACAGATAAATAATCACAGATATAACATTACAGAAGCTGCTTTGTAACAAGTTAATTAGTGATGAACATTTTTGAGAGATTTTGTCCATCCCCAGATTAGACTGTCCTAGAACTTGCTATACACCCTAGGCTTTTCTCAAACTCATGATGCTCTTCCTTCTATCTACCCAATTCTGTGATTACAGTTGTGAATTTTGACTCCTTGCCATTGTAATTTATTTATGCCTTTATTGTTTTATGTCTTATTCTTTATACATAATACTGTCATTATAAAAGTCCAGGCATTTTCTGTGATTTCTGTTATTGCTATTGATTTTCATTCATAATCAATCATTTTCCCCTTTGGAAGGCAATCATCTCTGATGTTGACATCCATTGGTCTCTGTAAAACTGTTATTTTAATTAGGATGGCTGCACCCCATTCTGGGAAGGTCCTTTTCTGTTTACAATGCCAGTATAATGCTAATTTCTTGATTACCGTAGAATATGCATATCTGGACTAAACACTTTTGACAGTGTTGGTCTACATCCATCACTTCTTGAAGAAAACTTGTTTCTTTCCTTCCCCTATTTACAGCTTTTCCATTTCCTGAAATTGTAGAGAGGATGCCTGTTAGTTTCTGTTAGGTGTACCTTTGCTTCAAGATTAGGAGTTCCTCTGATCTCAGTTATAAATTAATGACCCCAGGATTTCCACTGAGAGAATATGGGCTTTTCTTTGCATCAATGGTGCATGTTTGGCCCAGAAACTGGAATCCAAATGTCTGAGAAACAATTCATTGTCCTTAGTAGAAGAGAGGCTTTGGACATTGGAGATATTGAAAAACAATTAGCGTCAGTTCTCTCACTATTTTTGAGTTTCCTCTTTTCTTTCTTCCACTGTTTCTTCCTTTTAATGTATGTTTTCTTAATATATGTTACCTAATTTGTGGCTATAACTTTTGAACTTATCATTCCTCCAGGACTGTCAATCTGAGATAGCTCTCTTAATATTTCTGCAAATGTCACCTCATTTAAATATGTCTTGTGTTCTGGATTTTAACAAAAGCAACAAGTAGAGAACCTAGTAAGCCAGGATCTTTCAGTGATATCTGATAAGGTCTGTGATGGTATATTTGCTTGTTCATTGACACCAGCCACTCTCTCATAACTCTCCAGGCATATGTTTTTGTATTTCTTGACTGATTTGCATGGACCCCTCCAATCCAGCCCAGCTCCCAGGAGTTCATAAACCAGGCCTTGATAGTGAGAACTGAGAAGCTTTAGACAGGCAGGGGAAGAAAGATGGAGTCACAGACACAGGTCCTCATGTGCCTGCTCCTCTGGGTATCTGGTGAGAAATTTCAAAGTATTAAAAGATTTTCAGTCATTTCTTTGTCGAATAGAAATTTATATTTTTGCCAGAGTGTAATGTTTTATGCAGCAATACTCTGAAAACATGGCACTGCAAGGATATTAAATGACAAATGTCATGTATATTAAATTTGTGTGTTTTATTTTTACACATGATCATTGCTATTTCTGATTCTAGGTGTATGTGCAGATATCATGATGACCCAGTCTCCATCCTTTCTGGCTGTGTCAGCAGGAGAGACAATCTCACTCAGCTGCAAGTCCAGTCAAAGTCTTTTATCTGGTAGCATAAACCGCTTGAACTGGTTCCAGCAGAAACCAGGGCAGGCTCCTAAACTGCTGATCTACCATGCATCCACTAGACACACTGGGGTCCCTGATCGCTTCACAGGCAGCGGATCTGGGACAGATTTCACTCTCACCATCAGCAGCTTCCAGGATGAAGATGTGGGAGATTATTTCTGTCAGCAGCATTATATTGTTCCGCTCACAGTGTTTCAGTCTCTAACAAAAACCTCTTCTGAGAGTCTCACCAGCTGCTTGCACTACACAAAGCCCTGGAACTCACACTTCCTCCTTTTCCCTGAGAGGTGGAAAACTCTGAAACACTCATGAAAATGATTGCAGAGCATAAATAATGGGTGCAATGTCTCTTACGTAATTTTAGTATGAACAACATTTATAGATAATTGCAAGGGAGAATTTATTTTTTTATTAATTTTTTTATTTTTAAGTTTAAATTTAGATTAGAAACATGGGTTTTTCACAAGTCAGTTCCCGGTCCCTCTCACTTTCCCTCCCCTCCTCCGGGGTCCTCCCTCCAATTCCCCCATTATCCCCTCATTTCCCCAGGGAGGGTGAGGCTCTCCATGGGGGTGTCCATAGACTGTCATTTCATCCAGTGCAGGGCCTAGACCCTCCCCTCAAGAGTTCAGGGTGAGAGTTCTTCTCACATTGATGGATGGGAGTCCAAAGTCCATGTGTATACTCGGGATGAATACTGACATACTGCCCAAGGCTCAATAGATTACCTAGGCCTCCTCACTGACACCTACATTCAGGGGGTCTTGATCAGTCCCATGCTGGATTCCCAGGCATCAGCCTGGGATTCAAGAGTTAACCCCTGTCAGGCCAGGTGTTTTGGGGGTTAAACCAGCCCAGTCTTAACTCCTTTGGTCATCAGTAGCCCTCTCTCTTACTGTATTTCTTGAGTTCAGCTCAGTACTTAGCCGTGGGAGTCTGCCTCTTCTTCCATCAGCCACTGAATGATGGTTCTGTTTCCCAGACTCTCTGGCCATGGGATTGTAGGCTGGCACTCCCCAGATCTATGTCTAAAATCCATATATGAGAGAGTACATGCCATGTTTCTCTTTTTGTGACTGGGTTACCTAACTCAGGATTGTCTCTTCTAGTGTCATCCATTTGCCTGCAAATGTCAGGATTCTATTGTTTTTTTTTCTGCTGAATAGTACTCCATTGCATAAATGTACCACACTTTCTCTATCTATTCTTTGGTTGTGGGGCATCTAGGTTGCTTCCAAGTTCTGGCTATTACAAATAATGCTGCTATGAACATAGTGGAACAGACATCCTTGTTGTATGAATGGGCATCTTTTGGATATATGCCTAAGAGTGGAGTTGCAGAGTCTTGTGGTAGGTTTATTCCCCTTTTTCTGAGGAATCTCCATACTGATTTCCAAAGTGGCTGAACCAGTTGGCACTCCCACCAGCAATGAAGGAGTGTTCCCCTTTACCACATCCTCTCAAGCATAAATTGTCCTTAGTGTTTTTGATTTTAGCCATTCTGACAGAGTTGTTTTGATTTGCATTTCCCAGATGGCTAAGGATATTGAGCACTTTGTCAAGTGCCTCTTAGCCATTTTAGACTCCTCTATTGCAAACACCCACAATTTAGCACTGAAATGAACCCAAGGAACCCAGTGACAGAGAAAGAGGAGTGATGAGCAAATTGGCAAAAAATGGGCTGGCAACACCAGCAGAGACAGCTGATCTGAACAGGGGAGAGCTCTTGGACCACAGACTGACAGCAGAGAGGCCAGCATGGGACTGATCTGGACTGCCCCCCCCAATGTGAGTGTCAGTGAGAAGGCCTGGGCATCCTATGCGGCCCTGTGCACTGGATCAGTGTCTATCCCTGGAATGAAAACAGTCATTGTGTACCCATAGCACAAAGAGGGATGCTCTCACAGCCTGGACTCTTAGGGGAGTGACTGGACACTACCCTGAGTGAAAGGAAAGACTCTAGATATCCCCTTCGTGGAAGGAATTGACAATAGGGTGGGAGGGTGGGGGGATGGGGGAGTGTGGGAGGAGGGGGAGGGAAAGGGAACTGCAATTGACATGTAAAACAAGCTATTTAAAATTAAAATTAAAAATTACAAAAAAAAAATTCTCTATTTAGTTCTACAGCCCACTTTTTAATTGGATTCTTTGGTGTTTTAGAGACTTGCTCATTGAGTTCTTTGTAAATTTTGGAGATCAACTCCCTGTCAGATGTGGGGTTAGTGAATATTTTTTCCCATTCCGTGGGCTGCCTTTTTGTCTTGCTGACTGTGTCCTTTGCCTTCCAGAAGCTTCTCAGATTCAGGAGGTCCCATTTATTAATTGTTGTTCTCACTGTCTGTGCTACTGGTGTTATGTTCAGGAAGCTGTCTCCTGTACCAATTCATTCAAGGATACCACCCACTTTCTCTTATACTAGCAAAGGAGAATTTATAATTATATTCCTTCTTTTTTATCATTTTTTATTTTCATTTTAAATAGCTTGTTTTACATGTCAATCCCAGTTCCCTCTCCCTCCCCTCCTCCTGCACACTCCTTCTCCCCTCCCTCCCACCCTATTGCCAAATCCTTTCACATAGGGGATATCTAGAGTCTGTCATTTCACTCTGGGTAGGGTCCAGGCACTCCCCTAAGAGTTCAGGCTGAGAGAGCATCTCTCTTTGTGCTATAGGCACACGAAGACAGTTTGTATACCAGGGATAGACACTGATCCACAGCTCAGGGCCCCATAGGTTGCCCAGGCCTTCTCACTGACACTCACATTTGGGGATTCCTGATCAGACCCATGCTGGCCTCCCCACTGTCGGGCATGGGTCCAAGAGCTCTCCCCTGTTCAGATCAGCTGTCTCTGCTGGTTTTGCCAGCCCATTCTTTGCCAATTTGCTCATCACTCCTCTCTCTCTGTCACTGGATTCCTTGGGTTCAGTTCAGTGATTAATTGTGTGTTTGCCTCTGCCTCCATCAGTCACAGGATGAAGGCTCCTGGATGGTTATAGACATCAAGTTCATTATCAGGAATGGGCATTCGAGGTGGTCCCTCCACTATTGCTTACCTTGCCAATTGGTGTTTTCCCTTTATATCACTCGATGTCACTCTGTTGCCTGATCTGTCTTCTATCCTATGATTCCCTCTTCCCCCTATTCTACCCTCACCCACTCAACTTCCTTTTCCCCCCCGTGACCAACTCCCTTCCTCTTCACCCCCTCTCTTCTTCCCAGGTCCCACTCCCCCCCCACCACCCCTCGCCGTGTTCCCCACCCATTCAGAGGATCTTGTCTCAATCCTCTTCTCTTGGGTACTATGCATATATGCATATTTTCAGGTTCTTTCCTGTTTCCCAGACTCTCTATCTGTGGAAGTGCAGACTGGCACCACCCTGATCCATGTCTAAAATCCATATAGGAGTGAGTACATATCATGTTTGTCTTTTTGCGACTGGGTTACCTCACTCAGGATGGTTTCTTCCAGTGCTATCCATTTCCCTGAGAATTTCAAGATTCCATTGTTTTTTTCTGCTGAGTAATACTCCATTGTGTAAATGTACCACATTTTCTCTATCCACTCTTCAGTTGAGGGGCATCTAGGTTGCTTCCAGGTTCTGGCTATTACAAACAATGCTGCTATGAACATAGTGGAGCAGATGCTCTTGTTGTATGAACTTGCCTCATTTGGATAAATGCCTAAGAGTGAAATTACTGGGTCTAGTGGTAGATTAATTCCCATTTTCCTGAGGAATCTCCATACTGATTTCCAAAGAGGCTGTATGAGTTGGCACTCCCACCAGCAGTGGAGAAGTGTTCCTCTATCTCCCCATCCTCTCCAGCATAAATTGTCTTTGGTGTTTTGGATTCTAGCCATTCTGACAGGAGTAAGATGGTATTTCAGAGATGTTTTGATTTGCATTTCCCTGATGGCTAAGGATGTTGAGCACATTCTTAAGTGTCTCTTGGCCTTTTTAGCCTCCTCTACTGAGAATTCTCTATTTAGCTCTGTACCCCACCTTTCAAGTGGATCCTTTGGTGTTTTGGAGACTTGTTTCTTGAGTTCATTGTAAATTTTGGAGATTAGCCCTCTGTCAGATGTAGGGTTAGTGAATATCTTTTCCCATTCTGTGGCCTGCCTTTTTTTCTTTTTGACTGTGTCGTTTGCCTTACAGAAGCTTTTTAGTTCTTAATACATTACCAGAAACTCTGTTGTTTGAACATGAGGAACTTATCTTTTTATATTTATGGAGTTCTGGTGTCCAACAGAAATCTCTTTGGTCTGAAGTGATAATGAAGGCAAACTGGATTTTGGTTTGGAAGCTCTAGTAAAGAGTATTTCTTGCTTTTTCTAGATACTGGAGTGCTTTCTTACTTACTTATACTGGTTACCATGTCTTCTGTTTCTTTTCCTTTCCATATATTCTTTTAACTTTTATCATAATTTAGATAATTTCCTGCATCTCTGTGTATGCTTGTGCACATTTCCTCATGCATATGAGATGTGTCATAATTGCGGAGGTCAGAGTGTACTTGAAGTTTTTTGTCTCATTTTTATTTTTTTTCTGTGGATCAACCTAAGGTTTGCCATAAGGCTTAGTGGCAAATATCTTTGTCATCTGATTCTTTTTCATATAGAAAAGTTTCAGTTTGTGATTCCTTTAAGACTGTTTATAGGATTATTTTGAAGATAAATAATAAATTGGCCCCTTTGTAGCTAGAAAATACAGCTTACCAGTGAAAAACCTGAAAACAATAGCTTGCTAGCCCACACAGTTTATCTATTAACAAGTTTTTGACAATGAAGTACATGGGTTCTTGGGATATTTTTTTTTCGCCTGTGATACTTGGAATGTTTAATCACATAAGGGAGATGAAAAACATGTTTCTGTATTCATTATAATATTCACCCAGAAAACAGAATGTAACCACATTGTAATTCCTATATTGCCTAAAAGTCTTTGTTGTGGTATATAAGCTGTAGAAAAAAGTATATGTAGAAAGAACAGAACAGTACATAGAAAAAACATGAGAGAACAGAGAACATACTAAGAAGCCTTCAAGAGGGTGAGTGTATTTTTGCATAAACCATCTCAAATAGAATGAAGAATACAGAAGAATAATGAAGGAAACCGTAAAGAGGCTGTGCGAGTGGCTTTTTTCCTTTAAACCCTCAAGTAGAAGGATGCTGTTCACCAACTGCATGGATTATCTTTGAACCCTTCATTAAGGACTAAGTACATATTCTTGCCAATCTCAGTTTGGACCCCTTTTACTTAGCATCAACTAAGAAAATGCTGACATCCTAAGAATGCTAGGATGACTGTCAT